GAAAGAGTCCACAGCAGTTTGTACAGCGGGGGCAGAACCATTTTCTCAGGACAAAGTTCTCCCTGCATAATAGCTGCAAGTCTTCTGGCTGATGGTTAGACTGCTGTAAGCTGTAGATAATCCACTTCTCTACAAGTAACCAGCTCTCTCACTGTACCAGCAGAATCACTTACCTGTTGCCATCATTGCTAATAACTGTCAAATAGATGAGCAACCCTTTGAAGTGTTTGGATCCTCTGCAAGTATCTGAAAGAACAAGAAGCTATAGTTGAAAATCTCAAAATACAGAAACTGCTGGAGTTCTTCCCTTGTAAAAAATACAAGTCAGAAGAATTCACATGGGACAGAAAGAGCTGTTAAATATATTAAGTGCTTTGAGCTTGTACTTTTCAATTGATATCTAACCAAAATGGAGGCAGTGCTGTATTGTGGTATCATCTGTAGGCATAAATTGTTTTGCTGCCTAACAATATCTGTTTGCAGGGGTTTTGTGCAACCCAATGGAAATAAAATGTTGCTTATATTTAAGAGAGAGCTTGTATAAACACCACCTTTCCCTTCCTGGGATGAAACGCATTATGATCTGCTCTTTCATGGCTTAGCTGAATAGAGCTGTGTTCTTCAGAAAACCAGCTATATTAATATTTGTGGTAACAGAGAACTGAATAGTTTGAAAAATGCATTGGATCTTTATGACGGAAAGAACTCTGTAAAATTTTGCCATTGATTATTATAGGAAGTACAGTGCAGAAATCTTCTGACCTTAAATTTACCATACCAACTGAAAGCTAATTACAACCATGATCACGTTCAAGAAATATTTATGATCAATACATACATATTACAATTTGAATACTCACCCTACATCAAGATTAATAATTGCATATATTATTAAAACAGATTACTTTATAGATATATTTCCAATTATAGTAGAAATCCTCTTCTTTTATTTTAGCTCCTGCGACAAAAAATACCCCAAAACTATTTAGATACATGAAATTAGCAAGTCATTTCAGTGTCTCCTGCTTTTAACTACACCACTCAAATATATGATACATTGTCCTCAGTAATAAGTCTGGCTTATCCCTTTCTCTCCACCCCTACTGTGGAGGCTCCTACCCCTCCACCCTACGACTCTGTTTTGCACCATGCAGTTAGCACTATTGATGGGGCATAGCAAACCGTGAAGAAAATGCAAAACTGAGGCTCTAAGGCTGGAGTTGGAATTTTCATTGAACTACACCCTTTTATGCAGCAAAAAACTGCAGCAAACAGATTGATCTACAACTGGTTTTCTTGTTTCTGAAAAGCACAATAGTCACATGTTTAGACTAAGCACGAGAAGAGTCTATAGAAATCAAGATCCATGTAACCTACCTCAGGATAAATCAGCTTAGGCTGTCAACAAACAGAGGAGAGTCTGGGATAAACCAAATATGTGCAGACTTTGAAGTGAATCAGTTATGACTGATGTGCTGTGCTGTGGGAAGTTCCTCTACTCCCTTGGCTTGTGCTGCTGCTGAAAAATCATTTGCCATTATGGCACATGTTCTCATCAAGACCACACAAAGAGCTATGTAGCAGGTAGCTAACTGAGAAACAAAACACATCATGGAACTGTATTTTAATTAATTTTCCTTAGTGTTATCATATTAATTGGCACAGATATGGATTTCTCCTAACCACCTGAATTACTTTACATGCACACAAGTAATGTACTTTTGTTATCAAATTTTTAAAGCATTAGCGCCTGTAACATCCAGGTATCAGTTCCCTCAGCAGCATTCAAATTGATATCAGACCAGCTTCTGTTGAGCTGTTCCAAATACACAACAGTAATATGAATCTGGTCCAGCTGTTCTCTTGACCAATATGTGAAAAAATACAGTAAGTATGGCTCATGCTACCTTGCTTTTCCTAGACTATGAAATTCTGCTCTTAGAAATAATGTTACTCTCTTTTTCTTAGGATATATCATTTCTGACCATAAATGTTGATTAAGAGATGTATTTGAAGTAATCTGCACATGGGCAATGACGGGGAGTTTTAATTCATTGGAACAAACTACTCAAAACAGAGGCACAATTTCTAACCACGGGATGGCTGTATGCTGTACTTTTACCTATGCGTGATTTGTAAAGGTACAGGCCAGAGGGAATTGTGTCATGAAAGGGATAATAATATCACGCTTTAGAGTTTGGATTTTTTTTTTTCGAATTATTCATTGCAATAAATTTTTTTTGTCACAGATTTGACAAAGACATATTCTATAATTAAAGTAATATATCCAAATTATTCTTTTCTAAATTGTACTCTTTGTTCTCATGATTTCTGCTAAAGGAACCATCTCCTTGAACATCTAAAAGTAGGTTGTACAAAAAATGCATAATACTGAGAACAGTCCTCCAATAGGACGGACTGTGGAAGGAACAAGCTTCTTCCATTTCTGTTTACAGTGTTTTATCCAGTATGGGCAAAGAAAAAACTACGCAACACAAACAATTAATAAGTACACAAAGTACACAAGTGTGTTTATTACATTTTTGCAAGCACTTTGTTCTACATTTCAAAAACGCCACCATCAAGCTGTTGGCACATTTATGTACAAAACAGATTAATTGTAATGCCTGCTACAAAGCATTCTTTGTGAAAATACAAACTCTAATACCAGAGAAGAGCCAAAAGCATTAACATCATTACATGAGTTTAAAAGACATAGTTTTAAAAATCAGCACAAACGTTTTAAGACACAAAACTGAAACACTACAATATAGAATCCAAAAGAGGTTCCTAATACTTTTTGCAGAACTGTAATATCGGTACTGCACATTATCAGAAAACTGTTGACCCCGTAGGACAGCCTAAGTGTCAAAAAAAACCCCAAACCAAAACCCCAAATCAAAAACACAACCAAAAAACCCCAAAAACAAGCAAAAGAAAAGAAAAAGAAAAAAAAAATCAATCAACTAATACTACTTAATGCATTATCATGCCACAAGTAACTATAGTATTACCCTCTACTTACTACAAGTGTTGTTAAAAATGATGCATGACTAGTAATAGTACAAAGAAGAGTTTTACTCAAGAAGTTTTATTAGAAATGCACTTACACTGAGAGAGAATTCACAATGGTCCAATAAGTGCACAAAACTACCTAAGATTTTTAACACTGACAAAAATGTCTTGTCAGGCTACATCACTTTAAAAGACACTTTACAGCATTCTTGTAGCATTAGAAATAGGCAAAAAAAAAAAAATCCACCAAATTTGGTCCGATAATACTGACTTTTCTTAAATAGGGGTTTTTGTTTTGTTTTTGATACAGGTAATTCTTTCAAATTAAGATGACCTATCTTTCTGATAATGTTTTCCTTTCAAAATAAAGGTTCAAATATATTACTACAATTTCAAATAATAAGCTCTGTAGTGGTCTTTCACCTTACTTTAACATTATACAGGTAAACCAATATGTGTAGGAAAGCTGGAAGCCAAGCTATAACATTTATGGAAGTCTCCTTTAATATATCTTTTACAGTTCAGACAGGTGCAATCCATTTAAATTTTTAAAGCAGGTAAAAAGACATCTGACTCCTACGGTCACCGTATTTTTGATATATTACTTTCATAAATGTAGCTAAGCAGTAATTTCTTACATCATCACATGAACAGCTCCAATTTAGCATACCATCATTGAATTAAAGAGAGACCTTTCTGTAAAAAACTATGGAGAACTATATCACTTAATTAACAGTTGTCTATATACCATAACTCTTTAACAGGTAGCCGTGGTATTGAATTTCTTCAAAAGGCAAGTGGCCATGCATTGTTAGCACCACGGTCTGCATGCTCACAATACAAACAGGAATTATCACCCATGGAACTTGGAACAAGAGAATATTCTTTAAAAACATCAATAATAATACAATGTTAACAAAGATAAGAAGCACTTTTTTCTTTTTTTTTTTTCTTTTTTTCTTTTTTCTCTTTTTTTTTCTTTTTTTTTTACCCACTATTACAAATTTAGAAATTGCACCTTTGATTGTTTAAAACGTTCTTAGGCCCTTCATTCAAGTTGAATAGGGTCCATCTGGCAAGTTTTCCAAATATAAAGGAAAGTCATCAGAATGTTTTCTTTATATATTGTACATCATGTACAATGGTCCCTTTGAAGTATACCTGTAGTTAAAGTAGTTATTGAACTCAAAACTAAAAAGTATAAAAAGCTACTTTTTTTCCAAAAACATATAAGAAACAATGCAAAAGGTGTTATGCATAACACATACAAAGTGATTAAAAAAATCAAACACATATTTGTATTTGACAATAGTTTAGTATCCTTGATCTAGCAGAACTAATTAGCTTAAAAGGATTCAGGAAAGGCTATTTAGGAGTTTTGTGGTAGAGAATGGTCACACAAAGTAAGAACTAATTAAGAAACCAAGTGCTAGACAACCAGGAATTGTACATGGGTGATATGTAAGTCACCCAAACTAACTTTTGTGAGAAGCACTTTCAATTATTTTTAAAATGGTTGGATGGCCTTTAGTTAAACAACAAAGCATTCACATGTTAGAAAGTAAGACAAGGTTTCTTTTATGTGTAAGCATTGAGCCGCTCTTTAGAGCGAGTAGAATGAATATCATGAAGCTCTTGTTCCTCCTTTGATTTAATATCCTCGTATTTTTGCATTCGGCAAGCATCTTTCACATATGCCCAGTTGGCAGACAAGACCATGAGATAGTGGACCTGTAAGAGAGGTAACAGGGAGTTAGGAACCAATAGAGCTAGTCAGATCAAGCAAGTTCAAACATGAAAGCTGTAAGACAGGGGCTGGGTTTTCATCAGAAGGAACTGAGCATTGTTAAGTCAAGAAGTAGTATGGCAACACGATGTGAAGTTCAACCTTGAGCTTCATTAAGCCTCAGATTACTCAGCTGACAGCTGTTACTGTTACTAGCAATTGGTAGCAAAAATTAAAAGAACTGAAAAATCAACCAAGTATCCCTGCTTTACTTTTTCAGCTAGTCTGGAAAAATGCCTGCTGGTTATTTCTTTCTTGTAGATTATTCTCTAATGAATTTGTTTTGCTTAAGACAGAAATATGCAGTAGACACATCTGTAGTCTTATGGAGGCATATCTAATACAATTAGAAAAGGATTTGCTTTTTTTTTCTTGTTAAAGTTAGTATTAGCTTTCCATTTAACCATGATTTATTTCTTTCACCTACAACTCTATCTATTTTGTCAAAATCAGATAATTTGGGAAAAGTTTGTCAAAAATTGAAAAATATAGTTAGCTAGGCAAAATGTGACAAAATATAGTTACAAATGAACCTGAGGTCCTAAAAGGGCACATACCTGTCACCATTTAATTTAGTAATTTTATTTCACTGTTATATTAGTTATAACAGAGTTTATTTATGTAACTCTTTGAAATGCATGTAAAACAAAAAAAAAAGTTATTTACATGATTTTAAGACAACTTCTGTATATATCTTGAATGAAGCAGAAACAATGTTCATGTTCTACGTAAATCTTTGAATATGTAAATATAAATTTATTTAGGTTTTTTAAGAAAACAAAATTGAGAGCTTTCCAAGTGTTCCATCTAAAAACAAAATAAAAATTATCTGAAAAGAAGAGGAAAAAAAACCCACAGCTGTGATTATGATACAACTTATTGGTGAGCATTGCACCTGACTGACTTGCAGCCAACACAAATCACTGTATGAACTCTGATGATATACTCCCAAAGAGCTTGGTTTATTTATGTTGGCAAACAGGGAGGACAGAATGTCTATGAATATGTCTGAGGATTAAGTACCAGTTAAATGATATTGGCAGTAGTGCCACATGAACAAATGTTTTTCACATGGCTTTGAATAAGTTTAATCTGAAAGTCACTGAAAGGTATCTTACCAGCAGAAAAATTACATTCTGCAAATTTTTTCTATTCTAAATAGAGGACGTAAAACACCCTAATTACCTTTGAGATGGAGTTTAATAGTTTGTAAAGATCCTATGGTATATCTGCCAGTGACTGAGCTTAACAACTGATCCAGTCTTCTGAATAGTGGCAGTGAATAGTCAAACAAGTGATAAATTTTAACATAACACCAACATAAGGAACGAAGCTGAACCCTCCAAACAACTGCTGCCAAAAATATTTTATTCAAAGCTCCTCCTTCACGGGCAGTCACATACTATCTGCCTTTAGATCCTTTTGGAGTTAGTTTGCTTAGTCTTCATGCTTGTGTCCTTCTACAGCGTAAAGTCTGCTTTGGCTGCTTGTTAGAGCGACAAACTACTCTCCTGTCCACTTCAGCTTCCCAAGTCTGGGCCTTTCAGGACATCTGCAGACTTTGAAAGCTTTCCTTCTGAAGGTGGACCACAAAAGTCTCACCTTCGTTCTGCTGGATTTCTTTGCAAGGAACTTCTGACCTTCTCAAAACTTGTCTTCCTCTCACTTTAGGATGTGCTCTGTTGGCTCTGTATTCAGCCAGAAAATAAAAATGTTCAGTAACAGTATTCAACTGGTTTATTCTAGGACTCTCTGGACATTTATTCCTCCCCTAGCAGGTTTTCACATACTTTCTGATGAGAGCATCTCTAAATTTATGTTAATCAACTGCCTCAGTGGCACAGATAATTTCCCGAAATCAAAAAGATTCCACCTCTGCCTAAGAAACAAGAAACTAAACTAGGAATCAATTGGTGGAAAATGGAATAGAGTAATCATAAAAACACCTTGAGATTATGCAAATTCTCCTGTTCATATTGGACTGTTGTAGATGAGTATCTTAGATTCATACTAAACGGACAGAATCAGTTTAGTATGTTCATTCTTTTTTGGAAATCCCAGTGTTGCCTTTTTCCACAAATGTTTGGTGGCAACTGTTGCTGATTAGTGCAGGCGAACGTACATTTCTTAATCGGGATAACTAAGATCAAGGAAAGCATTCTGAAACCCTTCAAAGGACCAAGTATTTTTCATGTGGTTTTTGTCCTGGTTGTTTATGGCAAACTTTCACCCAGTTAATCCCTATTTGAGGAATACAGAATGAGTTGAGGAGCCATAAAATAGGAAGAAGTGTTCAGAGAATCTGTCTTCTAGGAAAAAGACTAAAGATAGTAGTATTTCTACATGTCTTTAGGAGTTTCTTAGTATCTGTAGTACAACACTAGCAGCACAACCTGTGACGACAGTGCAAGTGCTGGAGATGGCAGCATGTGTTGTGTCACTCTAGGACACTTTCTGGATATAATTTAGCACACAGGAAAATGAAACACCTTGTGTCTAACTCACCTGTTCCAAAAGCTTTCACCATGAGTACTGTCTGGATCAGGCATTTCTAGATCAAATGAGAGACACTAATACTGAATCCCCATTTCACTGAATGAAATGCCTTACATTTCCTCCACAGTAAAAGTCTTGAGAAAAATCAAAAGAATCAGGCTGCTAATATTAATAATTGTCATCTCATACAATTATCATTTGCATCTAATGAAAACACCAGTGGTCTTTTGAGGGTAAGATTTCAATTGAAAAATACAATTTGAACCTCAAACAGATCGTAGACATGAGAATCCTAGATGTTGGGGGTATCTGAGCAGTGTCATCACACCCTCCTGACACACCCACCAGAAAACCTCGCAACTGAATATGTGATGAACATGGGACCACGTAGGCACATTTCTTATCCTCACAAAATATTGGGTAATGACCCAGCAAGAGACAAATTTGAACCGAATGTCTTGCAGTTTCACTTGGCATTTTTCGTCTACTAAATACATAGACAAGCTATTCTGAAAGCACGTTGGCCACAGCCTGACCTTCATTAACTCCCATTCTTTGCCCATCCCTTCCTTAAAAAGTTACAGAACCAAACTTCTGGAATAACTGCTGAAAACTCCTGGAGTTCACATTCACTATTGGCAGGATGACTTTCTTGGAAACAACTACTTCAGCTTGTGTAATGAACATAATCTCAAATACATATCCATGTTATATAACGACACATACGTCTAACAGTCCCACCACCTTCGGTTTTTTGTTTAACACCATGTTCCTAGATAACATTGTCACACTAAGGAGGTCATCTCTAAGTGGCTGTCTAATTGCATTTCACAATTCCATGACCTGAATAGCCTGAAGCTAGTGAGGCCCTGTCAAGGCTTATTCAAATTGAAGCAGGGCAGCTTCCACAGCCTGCCTCAGGATGTTTCGATTACAGACATATGCAAGACAG